TTGATAATTTGCGAGTCACAAGTAATCATTCTAGGGAGGTCAGGGGATATGCTCCCGCGGAAAAAAAAAATTTTGGTGGGTCACTGAAACGGCATTTTCTGCATTGTGAAGGAACTCTGTAATGTAAGGGTCTTCATCAAATCACCTTTTACTAAGAGTGTCAAATACTGATTTCAGAATACTTGGCAGTTTATTTTGGTGGGAGACATATAGTTACATGGAGCATTATAAATGTGTGCAAGATATGCAACAGAGTCTGATGGCAATTGTTTCCTCCCCAATTTTTCATCGAATTTGAACGAATCTAAAACTACGCTCTGCAAACATTTGGGGGGGGGACCCCATCAAGTCAGAATGTTCAGTGTTCAGAGCTGGGTGGTAACCCATCAAGTAACAATACCTTAACCCACTACCTACAGTAGCAGGCTCAACTTAACTTAGTCTTAGACCTTAACTTAACGTCAAACGTGGTGGTCCAGTGTAGGTAGTATTCTACAATAAGCTGTCGTGGTTTGTGTCTGAACTACCTGAAAAAATGTAGACCTTTCTTAGCTAGTTCATTAAGTCCGCACCGAAGCCACGTCAGCGTGTTTCTTAATCTGTACAACGTCATCTATTTTCGCTATTTTCCTGGTGTAAACCACAAAGTGTGAAAGCCCTGAGCAAGTAAATAATTGACCACGCTCGAACGGTATAATCAACACAATTACTTAAACATGCCGCTGCTTTGTTTAATAAACCCACTGAGTTTTAATATCGAGCTGTATGAATTCAACAACCATGATAGAAGTGCCGAGGTCTGGTAAGCAAAAGTAACAATTCATCATTCTTAAAAAGGCGACATTACAAAATGACAGTCAGACAAACTCTTTCAGCGCTGATGTAACCGAAATTTCTCAACAGTTCAAATTGAAGGTTTGTAGATTAACTCCGGAAGCCTTAAGAATTTCGAAATGAGGAAAACACTAGCCTATTCTTGTTTCAAGTCCTAATTTCCGGTGCATTATACGAACGGTAAACTTCGGTCAGGTCTGTGTTTATTAAAACTCCGCTTCCTTGCGAAACAATTAAATATTGAAGCTACAAACCGTTGTTGTTGATAGTCAACCGAAGATTCTCTAATCCTCTCGGAGGCATTCGCTCGAAACACTGAAACGTTTTCAATACTCTTGAAAGTTGAGCCCGCGACATTTGGATAGCCACGTTTGAGATATATCAGGAAAACTTGAGATGCAGGAAGAGGGCTGACCCTCAGCGTTGAGTTAAGCCTGCTACTGTAGGTCTAGGGTGGGGTATGGTTACAAACAAGTTTCACTTGCTGATCTGTATAGGCACAGTTAATAGAAATAGGAGGTATAGGCAATTTTTCTAGCATGCCAGCTTTTCAACAAGTGTACTCGTAATGGAAATCCGATTGGCAAAGTGCAACTTTTTCTCATCTGTCCGGGTCGGCAACAAAAAATTGACAAAGTGATTTGAACACTTGCATATGGGGTTGGTCAGAGACATATTTTTGTCAAGTAGCTATCGTGGCGGTCAGAAAAACTTGTCATAGACATAGTAAATTTGTTGTACGTACGTCAATTAAACCTGGTTTACACTATCAAAATTTCTGTGATCACAGTAGAATAGATGATACCGAGCTTTTGACTAAATTTTGATCTAGGCAAGAAGAACAAAATCCATCACCACAGCTAGAAAGAGCATGTTAAAATTAGTAAAATTGCAAAGTTTGGTTGCGAAATGTTGTAAAATAAGGAGAATATAGCCCTACGAAATTTGCAAATTTTGTATTAATTTGTATTACGCACGGGAAAATGCACCACACTTTCGGCCCAAATGTGGTGCATTTTTCCACGCGTAATACAAAGTAATACAAAATTTGCGAATTTCGTAGGGCTATATTTTCCGCATTTTGCAACATGTCGCGCCGGCCAAACTTTGCGATTTTACTCATTTCGGCATGCTCTTTCTAGCTGTGGTGATGGATTTTGTTCTTCTTGCCTAGATCAAAATTTAGTTTATATAGCTGGGATCATCCGTTATGCATTTGAAGGCCTTTGTAAGAGATGTTTGAGGGAACTGCGTCAGTGTTGAACACCAAGTCTATTCCCTCAAAAATTTCTTAGAAATCCTTCAAAACTTAGAATTTACCTAGCTATATAGTGATAGTGCTCGTCTGCAGTAACCGACTTCAGAATTTCATGTGCGATTTTCTACTTCTGATGGATGTGAACGAGTTGATGTATTATGAATGTTCAGGCACAGAATACTACACAGAAGTCCATCTCCATTGTTTTTTGCGTAAGCGTTATTCGTCATGATTCGTCACTCAGCAAGTACCGTAAACAGAAGCAGTCACCCCCCTGGACATGCGCCATTTTTAGTATTTCCAGGGGGGTGACTGCTTCTGTTTACGGCACTTGCTGAGTGACGAATCATGACGAATAACGCTTACGCAAAAAACAATGGAGATGGACTTCTGTGTAGTATTCTGTGGTTCAGGTGAGGGTACATGCAGTCAGATCATTCGTAACTCATCTGCTCGCGTTCACATCCAACCAGAAGAGGAAATGGACTTGAACTTTTCCGTACACGAATGAAAACCGCTTAAGGTGGCTCGATATAGTTATCACAAAAACCCTGCTCAAGAATCGCGAACAAAACTGGGCGACCATTTTTACGCGCAGGTCGTGCAAACTGATTAACAAAATGAAAGAACTTCCAAAATGACCTGACGTGAGCAGTTGCTCGCGCCATCTCACGTCATTGCGCGTGTTGTATAGCGTTTTGTGTCGATTGCTGACGTCATTAGAATTTTCCATTTTAGAAAAACAATGCGCTATATCTCTTTATTTTGCCTGGTGACCTATGTTCAAATTTTGCATGCTGTATTGCACCGCTAAAAACTTTCATTATACAAAAAATAAAAAAATTCTGTAATGCCAAAAAAATTTTAACGAAGAATATGACATTTTCGCATTTTCCAAAAAAATGGCATTACAGAATTTTTTAATATTTTGCTAATTGTTAGCTTTTCGTCCAAGTAAAACAATGCAAGAAAAAAAATTGGGGGTCACCATGCTTTTTTTCCAACTATACGAAACGATAGGCCATTTTGGAGTGAATTTCGTACACGTATGTCGTCATAGCAACGAGCTATCTGTTACTAAAACTAATATAATTTGAAAGTAGAGTTATCAAAATATATAAAAAACACCAACATCTGCTGAATAAATCCTAGAAATGCGTAGTTTGAACATGTCAAACTGTTAAACACCTGAATTTTTGAAAACTGTAT